TTTTTTTTTTTTAAGTAGAACCAGGGCACGAGATCCTCATAGCCCTTTACAAATCAAGTTTTTTTTACATTACAACCTCTTTCTCTACAATCAGTTCTTCTCCAGATTACCACCTGCAACTCAACCTTTAGATCAGGATGAAATGTCGCCTCCTCTATAGTTTCCAGGCATGCAGTTCATGCCTTTGGCCACCTTATCATACCACGTGCTATTTACTCAAGTGTCTGTTCCTGTCCTACCAGACCCCAGACATTCACCAGGATAGACAGTAGGTCTCAGTCATCATCTTTAAATGCCCAGTAACAATTCTCTTGTTGGAGGTAAACTGTATGCTGAATAAGTCAAGTGCGTTTAGGAACTAATGAAACATTTCCTTAAGATGAAAGTGTTTCACTTTTATAGTCTACATTGAAATCATGTAAAACTGGAACAGTACAATGCAGTCTCAGTCGTCAGTACTCACTAAACCATGTATTTCTAGAAGACATAATGCAACCAAAATAATAGAACAGGAACAGGAACAGGGGCCAAGTGAAATTAATGCTTAAAAAAGGCTGTACATCAAATCTATCCCAGATAAAGGCAGCTACTATAACTACAATTTCTAGGGTTTAACCAAAACTTCTTGAATGAGAGATGAAACTCTATTAAGGTGGCCAGGCCACTGGTCAGGCAACAGAGGCCCTAATCCTAACTTCACCTTTCCTTACAAGGTGACTCTGAAGACGCTTCTAATTTAACCTCTGAGTATACTGATTGCTGCAGTAATTCAATTGGCAGGGGAATTCAGTCATATCTGTAAAAATACTTAATCACATTCCCTGCTGTACAGAATATACTCTACAAATGGCATGTAACCTATTCACATGATCTAAAATGACTTCTCTAGCTAGAAAAGTAGTATAACAGGAAACAGACCTTGCACAGAGGTAATACAGTGATGAAAAGAAGGTATTTGGTGGTGGGTGGGTATGGCAACCAACATGAAGAAGTGGATCCTATACCCTTGAATTATGTACAGTGTTGTAAGCCTGTGTTACCTCAATAAAAAAGACGTTACTATAGCGCAAAGGAGCCTGGAAACAGCAGGCATACATGATTCCAATCAGGATTCCTCCCACCAGACTGACTGCTCATCACTCAAGCTAGAAGTAATGTTTCAAGACCACGCATCACAGACCACTAAGAAGCACCAGACAAGAAAAAATTCAAAAGCAAGAAAAAAAATTCATCTCAGTAACGTGCCTGTTACTGTTTGAAGAAAGATGTTTCCTTTAACTCATACATTGGAAAAGGCAAAAATATATATATATATTAAATAATAATGATAATAATGTATAGGTTACCAGTCACTGTATTTTATTGCTATTAAAAAAATTAAATTTCAACAGAAAGAGATGCATAAAAGAATGTCTTAATTTTGAACACAAAGACTGTATCAAACTCTAATTCCCCCTTTCAGTCCCCACGTCCCCATGATCCTTTAGCATTTTGTTATTTTAAATGGCCCATCATCAGGCCCAGCTCCTTTTTTTTATTCTCTACCTTAATTTATCACTTTTGCTTTCAAAGCACTCCTTCAATCTATCCACTTCTTGTCATCCATCTACTTTCCTACACCCACAGGAGAACCACTACTGTCTCTTGTCTAGCCTACTGCTTGACAGTAACCTCCTAACCTGCTCTGCATGACCACATATGTCCACACAACTATTTTCCACACTTTAAATGATCTTTATACAGCCTGATGACACTTCTCTCTTTGGAAACCTGTGTGTCTTCCCACTGCACACATGGTTCTAAGAACAAAATCCAAATTACAGCCTCCAGGATGGGACAAAGACTAACTTTAATTTCAATCATTCCCCACCATCCCTGCCTCCACAGCACTCTCCACACCCCCATTTGACCTTCTAATTCTTCAAATTTCACTACCACCAGTACCCCTGGGTCTCAGCACCTGCTACTCCTATTGTCTTCTCTGAATTAACTCCTACTTGTTCTTGAGAGCTCAACCAAGTCTTTTTCTTCAGGGAAGCCTTAAGGGACCCAACAGATCAGCTCAGGCTTCTCAGTAGCCTGCCCTCATAGCATCATTCCCTCCTTTATTGTAACTATCTCAGTATCTACTTGTTATTATCAGATTGATATGTCTCACTTTTAGACCATAAGCTGCACGACAGCAAAAGTCATGTCCGGCATGTACAAGGTATGTCCACAATGCTTGAAAGAGCAAATATGCTATGAGACACATCTTTGAATTATGCCCATATTGGGATCAATTCCAAAATCACTTCATCCAGAGAACTTCCCAAATGGCTTATCCTAATTATTGTTGGGGGTTGGGGGGAATACAATCTAAATATATCTCTTAGGAGCATCAGGAAAAAAATGACCAGGTAAGACCTAGTCCTAATGGTAATTTCATTTCAGTTCAAAGTGGTGTGTTTGTCCAGTTATAAGTCTCATACTTTCAGTATTAGAGAGAACTTGATTTTCATGAGATAGCTGTCCATCTATTACTAAAATGACATAAGGATTAGAACAGAAGGCAGAGAGGAGGTATCCTTTCCCATTTCCCTCAAGCCATGTGGTGAAATGAAAGAATATAAACTTTAGAGCTATAACTACCTACTTTGAAATCTTTGTTGTTTACTAGATATCTTAGACTGAGCTATTTGCCTTATCTCCCTCAGCCTTAGTTTCCTCACATGGAAAATGGAAATAATTTCTGCTTAAGGAAACACTGTGAAGATGAAAAAACAAATGGGATCATTTATATGAAAGTATCTGCTATACAGAAAGCTCTGGATAAATAATGTCCTTTGTACTTTAGTCTTTGATGGTTCTCACATATTGAGTTAAACATAGGTTTCCCCCCAAGTAGTCACTCTATTTATCAGCAGTTTTTCTTACCTGTTATACCCAATCTGCCCTCTGTATTCCCACTGACTATATCCTGCTAAGATATCCAAAATTCTCAGTCTGTGAAATATCTTTTAGCTTCCTTATTGTCAAAATATGTCCCTTCAACCAAGTACAGTGGAAGCTTCGTCCACTCAACACATTACAGGATAAAGCCCATGACAGTCTACAGAGTCCCTTCTTTTGAATTATGTGCATACCGATCTTATACCTGTATTATACTTCCACAGAGCCTGTGAAAAACCCTGAAAAACAAAGGAGATGCTGTTCTTCAAACTTTGACCCAGAATAGAAGACAGACCTCTGAAGGTGTAGACTGTACCTGGAGCTATGTAGCCAGGGGCAGCTGTGGCCCCAACAAAGGCTCCCCTTGTGAGAGTTCCTCTTCCTCTGCCCCGAACAGCTTGGACTGCAGCAGACACAGCTGTGTTCACCACACCCTTTGCCTGTTATAAAAAGTGACAGTTTCATTACTGAGAGAAATAAGAATTATTACCTTATATCCCTGTAATATATAACCTCTACAAGAAACTTGGCCTGTAGATGAGACAACTGAGTTGTTGTGACCTTGCTAAACTGTCAATTTACCATCTGTAAAAGGAAAAGGACAACTACTTTAACATTTTTTTTGGAGAATATGTTGAGCATACGAAAGGAGGTAAATAATTCTTTTCACTTGAGAGTTACCCAAAAAGGGTTAATTTGCTACATATAAATTTCAGGAGTTAAATTATGCCCAAAGCCATGTTAGATAGACTGAAGTAGTTATAGACACTTTATGCTCAAGTCAAAATCCATGAATTCTCCAAGCACAAACAAAAAGTCACTGCAACAACAAACCGCCTAGAATCAGCTGTGTACCTGAGTGGGGTTTAAAATAAACAAAAAATTAAGAGTAGGACAAGAAACCCAAAAATGTGGGTGTCAGTTACTGCTCCAAGTAACTGAGACTTTGGGAAGATCATGTGCCTCTCTTAAGCCTGCTTCTTCTGTGTCTGTGCATATCAATTACTGAATGAATAAACACCACCTCTAAGCTCTGTTCTTGCTCAAAAATGTCATGGGACACTGGTAATGTCACATCACCTCTCCCTACAGGAGTTGCTCCACTAATTGTAAAATGAGAATTAGGATACTACATTGTTCTTATTTTGGAGGAGAAAGAGAAACTGAGAAAACAGATATAAAACTCCAAAAAGTAAACACAACTTCTAGTACATCCTTTCTGAATCTGGAAATCCAAATTCAAAAATTTTAAGAAAATCAAAAGGCTATTTTCAAAGGAAGTACCATACTTATTTTCTTAATGTAAAATAACAAAGACTACAGCTAGAAATTACTGAAATTGTCCAACGAATAATCCAAGGGATAGGGAAGGAGACGCAGAGTCTCAAAGCTCAATGTCCACTTCGGCAGCCCCTCAGGCAGTTGCAATAAAGCACACATTCGTCTCCACTACCCAGAATTCACATTACTACACGCAGTATCTGAATGTCTCGTTACCTTAGCTATAAAATGAGATAAACTCTATCCTCCTATAATGGACTTAACAGATGTAAAAGAAATTTTTACATACTGTTTAACACAAAATCTTAATCTACACTTCCTTCTATTAGTCTAACATTTCTAATTGATTTGTCTGTCATATAATATATTCAGACATTACTACACTACTAGCTTTATATTTATTTATATATCTTTTTCCCCCTCAAATTCGTGCACATGGCATACATCTAGAAACTATCTTGAATGAGTAATGAGTAGATAAAAGTTTTTTACCCAAAAAGCATGGAATTAGGAGGCAATCTTTTCTAAACATTATACTACAATCCTGGGTTTTCCACAGCACTGACATTTCCAATTATCAGTAGTGAACAGAAGCAACAAGCAATAGAGTCATGCTTTACTGTGCACCCCCAAAGGAAAACCAAAATAAATAATGCAAAAGGACAAAACTGAAAAGGAAATGGAAGAGCATCTGCATATCTGATAAAAGTAAAACATAAGTACCCTTGGCAGCTTCCCTAAACTAAACAAAGGCTCATATCTCATTAAAGTCCAAATTCCTCAACACTCTACCTCATTAAGAATGAACTAAAATATGGCTAATAGCTTCATTTAGTAGAATATATAATTTGCCTACAAAGACCACAGAACAGAGAACCACTGATCATATATTATTCACAACCTAATCCAAAGATAAGACTGCCAAATCCAAGAAAAAGAAATCGCTTCAGGAAAAACTAAAATAATAGAAAGACAAATTTAAGGAAAATGAATGCTAGTCATACTTTTCAAAGGTTTACTGTTTAACGGATACCTGAGGAATAATCTTCTTTTTCTTGTTATTTGCTGCATTGGGTCCAGAAAACAGCTTCTCCAGGGCGGCTAACGCTGCACTTGCCTTTGCCACTTTCTTATTTGGACCTGCACCTCTGAATTTCTGTCCATCTACTTCTACCTAAAATCAAGAACAATACTCAGCAATTATCTCAAGCAATTCCTCTACACAGCTCTCATTTACAGTATTTTAGCACTGAAGGCAGCAAAAGTCAAATAGTGCCACAAAAAGTGGTTCAGACCAAACCGTTTACATGTAAGCTTGGGCTATCCTATGTCAGTGAAGGAAAAATAAGGCTGGTTGAATTTCAGCACACACCTCCATCACAAAGCGCTTGTCATGGCTTCCACCAGTCTCTGAGATGAGTTCATACTTAAGACCTCTTCTTTTTTCATTGAGCTCCATTACAGGATTTTTGCCACTTGCTGTGAGGATAGGGCCCTGAGTTCTTACCTAAGAGGAGGTTCAATCAAGTTAAGATTTTTAGGGTGTTAAATTTCTTATTAGTATAAATATACCATGTCACTAATAAAAAAAGAGGCTCAAAAATTCAGTTAGGAGCTAGGATGTAGGACCCCTCCATGTATGAGTGACAGAAAGCACTAAAAGGCATGGACACCCCATAGGCAGTCACACTGCAGTGGTCACCTGACCAGCCTGCTTGCTGGTACATGGCACTCACGGGTCTGATCTTGTGTTCATGATCTAAGAATAGTACCCTAAATCACAAACAAAGTGGATGAACAGCTGAGATTCACATTATACTGAAGAACTCACCGTTTTTCATCTTTAGGGCTACAAAGAAATAATGCAACTAGGGAGATGGGAGAAAAATATTCCTGGACACCTCAGTCATGTTAGATAGATTTAAGGGCACCATGGCTGTAGACTATAAATTCTGGAATTTACAAATAATAATTAAAAAAAAAGCAGTTATTCCCTGACCACAGGAGCTAGACTATAGTGGAAGGGATAGGTATAATCACTATAAAACAATGTATATCATACAACGGATATATGTTATGGGAACACAGTAGAAGAAATCATTTTCTAGGGCAATTAGGGTAGATTTCCTCAAAATGAAATGCAAATCTGACCTTAAAAGCTAAGTAGCAAACAAACCTAAAAGGGAACCTGAGGCAAACATTCTGAAGAAATAGCCATGCAAAGGCCCAAAAGAAGGAATAAATGTTTCTTTTGCAAACAAGAAAGTACAGTTTGACTATATAAGGGAGTGATGAGAGGAAGTCAGGACCTGACTAGACACACCCTTGTTGGAGCCATATCATAAAGGACGTTGTATTCCATGCAAATGAGCTTCACTTATGATGGGCAACACGGAGCCACTGAAATCCTTTAATATGGAAAAATGATCAGATTTGTGTTGAAGAAAAAATCTCTCTAGAAGTGGTAGTGATTTGAGGAAAGACAAGGTTAGAGATAACAAAGAAAATTCATCAAAGACTTAATCAAATAAAAAAAGAGAAACACCAAAAATAAAACAAGCCACATAAAACTACAAATTAATTTTTGAGAAATACCCAAAGACTGAGGATCTTGAGGTTAGAGATCACATTTGATTTTTCAAAAAGATTTATTTATGCATACAGAGTTGAGGTGCAGGCCAGAGGTGCAGAAGTGGTAAGATTCACCAGAGACAGTGTGAAGAGAAGACCAGGTAGACTGATGAAGTCCACTGCTGAGGGGGGCAGTGGCAGGTCACGAGAGGTCTGCCATGCCTTGTGGGTCACCTCCCTGGCTGGGGATTGAACCAGTGCTGAAGCAGCTGGTGCTAGCTTCCCAGTTGTCTATAATTTTAACATTGCTTCAGTATATATAGTTGCTCAAGAAATACTGAATAAAGAAAGCATGCCCAAAAGAATCATGTATTTTTACATATTATATGTGTGAGTTTTACAATCAACTGGAATTCTGTATTATTGGATTCATTTTGAAATCACACTGATTATCATATTACAGTACAATTCTCTCATGCTTCTAGCCTGAGAGCAAACTGAGGCTGTGTATACAATTTCTGCAGCAGCTGTTAGTAAGGAGGTATTAAAAGGGGGTTATGGATTGGGGAAAAAGAAAGAGAAAGCCCACTAAGTCTTTAATCCTAAATTTTCTCTACTAGATCTTTTGACTTTTACTCTTCACTTACTCTTGACGCTCTTAATTATAAAATACTGGAAGTAACTTCCAAGGCCAGCAAAAAGGAAAACTAGTTAAATCAGATTATATTCATACTGTACAATATACAATTACTGTTTTTAACGTTAAAAGAAAAAAAAATGCCTGAAAATATGAATGACATCACAGAAATACTCAAAGAGAGAGATGTATGGAAATAAACTAAAACATTAATAATGGCTGACTCTAGAATTTACATCGTTGTATATGCTTTACATGTTTTTATTTATACTTTTCTTTCAAATTTTCTACACTAAACATGTTACTTTTTCCTAAGGAGAGAGACATAGAAGTATACCTCTAAGGTACTGGAGGTTTCAGTTGTAGAAGTTCCAGTATTATTGCTTGAATTTGAAGACACTGTTTCATTTTTGCTTTCATTATCTGATTTTTCATCGGAACTCATACATTCAATATCTGCATCGAAGCCTGTTGGGTATCCCATTGCCTGCAATACCTGTAACAAGTTACAATGAGATTCACTTTTATTCAAACACCAGAGACCACAAAAAAAATAGATGAAACATCAAAAACAACAATTTTAAATGTACAACATTTGGAATCCATGATACAAATGCCTTACAGGAAGAGCAAAATGATGCCTAGTCTACAAATCCTTGGGCAAATAAGTTTTATACCAGAGTATCACCACGGAAATGAGGATACCATCCTCCAAAACAGTTAAGATTCATGTAGTTAAGAAATGTTAAACCTGATGTCCCTCCTAATTAATTTCATTTGGAGGTGAGAGATAAAAATTCAAGTTCAGCCAAGGGGTATGGGGGAAAGTTAAAGAACACAGTGTAAAAAGGTGCACTGGTATAGAAAGGAAAAAGGACCTTAATTACCTACATTTTTCCTCTAACTCTCAATTTTCCAATTATTAAAGAGGAAAAGAGTTGACCTCTAAATTCTATGACTCAGTCTCTCTAGGATTGAAATGAAATCAAATTTTCATTTTAACCTTTGAACCAATTTGCCTATTAATTTACAAAATAACAGCTCATGCTGCCTATCTCTGCATTAACTGAAACCATTAAGACTTGAAAAAAGACTGCCTAGGTTATTCTCAACAGAAAATAATCCAGAAAAAATGAGGTTTACATTTCCACCCCTGCCTCTCAAGAACGAGTTATAACTATCTCTGATGTTCATTCTTGTATTTCCATTCAATGACTGTCATTTCTCATACTTTACATAAAGCATTCAGATGTATGTATGTATAATGTGTCTGTGTACCTGGGCATACTTGTAAACATGTATTTTAAACTTTTCTCCAGGTAATACCCTGCTCTGTAGAAGTTCACAAGGCAATATGTTCACTAGCATTTTTATAAGCCTCTTTCAAACAGGTTGATATTCAATTCTGTTACTAATCTAGAGGGTTATATCAGAAGATCGTTTCCTAATGACCCCTGCTTATCTTTCAGCTTTTGACTAATGCCTTAAGTTACTTTACAGTTCCAACTGTATCTCTCTACAGTCCCGACTGCACCAAGGAGGTATCTAGTAAAATTATGATAGTAGTCACACAATGAGAAGCCAGGCAAGGGAGCTCTACCTTTATCAACAACAGCATCTTGACTCTGCTAATGTAAAGAAAATAGTATTATAATCTGAACAACAACAAGAACTGGGCATAAATAGAACTCTGCTCCCCCTCAAAAATTAAAACTGACCCAGTTCATATGGAGAAGCTGGTATCCTATTAGGCATTTCAAATCATATATAAATTTGTGTTCACTGGGAATAAAGCCAACAACCCTTTTTTAACATTTAAAGTTCTCGGTAGTACTTTACACTACATATACTAACATCATTTGGTCATATCCCTATCAATATTTCATGAAGAAAACACTCTCCATTCTGTGAGCCCTATGAATATGATCTCCATGAGAAATCTCATGTCTGAGAGAAGTGTTATCAGTCTGGAATTTAACACAGCTAACACAAGTTAAAAGTTACAAAGAGATGAGTCATGGGTAAATCTGATTTGTTTATTCGAATAAAAATTAAGGAAGTGCAGTTTTGAGGTACAGTTAAAAGTCTTTTGTGAGTTACCTTATACTACACCTCCTCTCTTCCATTTTCTTATCAGGTTCATGCATTTACCTGTATATACATATGTCAACATGTTTGCAAATTATGCCACCAATGGTTAATCACAGGGAAATAATGGACACACAGAATAATAAACAAAAATAAAGTCATTTTCTAGAACTAAAGCCAAGACTCTTTTTTAAATAATATAATAGTTTATTTTTACATCATTTTGTGCCCTTTTCATCTCAGTTGTAATCCCCATTAAAGCCCAAGACTCTTAACTAACATGTACTATAAAGTGAAAATAAAAGTAAGGAGTTCTCAGATATCTGGAACAAAAGTTAGTTTGGAATCAATATTTAGGCAAAAAAACTGGTCTATCACAGAAAACTGAGTTTTCAAGTAACGGTAAATATAGCAAACCTAATAAGCACATCAACCAAGCTGGGAGAAAAAAAAAAAATCACACTAATTCCCAGAAACAAGAAACTAAAGTAACTATGCTTTTTTCCTCCTAGGAGGGAGCTCAGACTAAGGAAGATGAGACCCTCAAAGATTAAAGATCAAAACTGAGTGAAAAGCAAGCATACAAAAACACATTTTAACCCATGATGCCCCACTCAAAAATAAGTAGTATTCACAGGTTTTGTATGGCAGAGATCTAATGACTTCAAGAACCTCGCCAAAGAGCCTGACTCCTAGTCAGTAGCCTTCTAGCGGACTAGCTGACAACAACTAAGATTCTTTTGATGGAATATGGCTGACTATGCCTGTAAATGTGTCCTTGGTAGAAGACTATCAGGAAAAAGGACTAGCAGAGTAAAAGGAAGTGTAGACACTAATCTCCTTGTTTTGTTTTGGTTTCATTCACTGGTGTGATTTGCCTGAACAGGTACAACCAAGCCGCTAAGTAAGGAATGCAAGGAATTTTATCCAATGTGTCCTATTTTCTTAAACATGTGTTGGCTACTGTCAAACTCATTTGTAAAGAGAAACTGCAACATGTGATGTGAACTTTATGGATGGCAATTTGTCAGTATATTCCTGGCATATAACAGGAATGTCAATACATATTTAATGAATTAATGGATCATTCAAATGTGCTTTCTGCTTGATATAGTTAGCAAAACCAACTACAGAATATGTTTTGAGGGATAATCACGCAATTTTAAAGAGACATAAAGCAATAAACTGTAAACATCTACATCTTAAAAATATTAATCACATTATGATAAACTGATAATGAAGTTAAGCCATTACTAAAAATGAGGACAATCTTTGTGATAACTACAAAAATAATGCCTATTTTTATATGAGCAAAGAAAACACGATCATGATCTTATTTTATCTTTCATATACACATTATGTTGGTCCCACCATTCCTTACCTGAAACCCTTAGGGACCAGATTATTCTGAGAACTCATAACTTATTTTTTAGAGTTTAGAAAAGTAATACATTTGCCATGTATTTTCCAACTTCCCAGTGAGTTCTCAAGTCCTACTTTAAGTCTGTACAAAAAAAAAATTACAAAATACTCACACAAACTGGAATAATAAAGACTAAAAACAGATCCACATCAAGTCAGGTTTTCCCCTCAAAATGAATTTGCATGAAACATAGGGGGGAATTTTTTTCCAGTGCTTTTTTGATACTGGAGTTGCAGGTTTACAAAATAAGCCTTGGAAAAATGTATATCAATGTATTAATTGTATAACCATGAGTTACAAATGGAATCTAAATCTTGTCATATTGCAAATTATGCCTCTCTATGGACTTTCCCAAATTTTACTACATGACAAATTCAAGATGAGGCCATATACTTATATTACGATTTATTATTTAAAATACCCACAGTGTCACTGTATCACAAATGCCTTTAAAGTACATCACTGCTATCTATGCCTTTTAGTAAGACATACAAGGGGAATGCCCGCCTGACCTTCATACCAAAACAACTGTGACTCTCTGTTCTTATATCTCCAACATGAATTATATTTCAAAAGTTTTTGCATTAGATCTAAATTTATAACTCAGTCTCAGCATATACTGTAACAAAGAACTGCCTCATTTTTTTATCTCAATTATTAAGGATTTTGGCACCCTCTTTTTTTTTTTTTTTTTTTGGTTTTACAATTTATCTTCTTATATCACTGTTTATTTTTGTGTAGTATGTGGTTTCTCCTCTCAGGATTAGTCTAAGGACTGTATCTTTAGTCTTACTATTTTTCTCCTCCTCACTCTTTGTTTTCTTTTCCTATCTTAAAGTCATACTACTTCATCATACTTGAGGTATCCCCCTTTTTTGTTTTTTCAAAGACTTATTTATGCATAAAAGAGTTGGGGTACAAGCCAGAGGTGGGGGGGTGGCGGTGAGAGGATACACCAGAGACAGAGTGGGGAGCAGAACAGGCAGACTGAGATGCACTGCTGAGGGGAGCAGCAAGGAGACAGAAGAGGTCTGCTGCTCCATATGGGTCAGCTCCTTGGCCGGGGATCGAACATGTGCTACAGTGGCTGCAGATAGCTTCATAGTGCTGCACTAGGAAGGACCTGAAGTACCCCCCGCCCTTTTTTTTTTTAAACAAGACAGAACATATTATACTGTCTTATATTTTTACACCTTAGTTATCATTTTTCTGTATTAGTATTATTACTACCTAACATATAATTTATTTATCTGTAGATTTGTTGTCTCTCTCCCTATCTTATTCACACTAGAAGGCTCCAGGAGAGCAAGGACTTCATTTTGTCTGTTGCTATATCTTAGCCTCAAGGATAATGTTTGCACCTACATTAATAATATTTGAAAAATGGAATGATCATGAAAACAGACCAAATGTATCTTATGCCCTACAGGATATTTTTCAAGTCACAACTGATGTTCGGTCTGTATGATCTTTGTAATTTCATTAGCCTGTCCTCAGAGATTTCAATATTTAGGAGTTTTCTATGAATGTACATGCATGATTAATTGGTTCTAACCTGGAATTATTCCCTATGAAAAATTCGGGGGTTGAACTTTTTTTTGCTTTTTGGTTTTGACCTTAAAAATTGAGGCAAAAAAAAAAAAGGCTAGAAGTAAATAAACCAAGATATTATATGCAAATATTAATACTCTGTCTCAGAGATAGGCTTTTGACATTTTAAATATTTATTTTTTGTGTGCTTTCTAAATTTTGTATAAATTTTGTATGCATTATTTTGTAGTCATAAAAGAGAAATTTTGTGATCCAGAGTGACTAAAGTTTAGACATCATCTTTAAAGATTTTATTTATTTATGCATACAAGAGCTAGGGTACAGACCAGAGGTACAGAGGTCCAAGGGGGCTGGTAAAGAGGATTCACCACAGACACAGTGGGAAGCAGCACAGGCAGACCATTGAAGCCCACTGCTAAGGAAAGCAGCAGGGAGACAGGAGAGGTCCACTGTACCATGTGGATCAGCTCCCAGGTGGCAAACTGAACTCATGCTACAGAGGCTGCAGCCATCACCTGGGAGGGTCCTAGATGTTATCTTTAAAATCTTGAAAAATCCTACTTACTACAGGAAAATAAGCCCTTACTTGTGACATCAAGTAAGTAAAATATATACTGTACCTTCACTGCTACATGAAGTTTTGCTGTTTTCTTGGATGGTCCTGAGGCTTCATATGTTGTACCATCCACATCTACAGACATTGTGAAGACCGGGGCATGGACAGGGCCAGACTGAGATAAGAGCTTATACTGAAGCCCAGGCCTGATCTGATTTAGCCTCATTAGTGCATTCATAAGGTCTATTGCTTTACTATCTAGAACTGTTAAAGAAGAGAAATGAGATCAGAAATTAGACCATTTCACTTCAATCTTTAGATCTGTAAGTTCCCAAGTAACCACTATAAATTCACTAGATTTTTAAAAAGCAAGAATTTCAAATCACATATACAAATTAGCTTTACTTCATAATTAAAAATTACTTCTACTTTATGCTAACATGACTGCAAAAGTAATATGCATTTTATTAATTTTAATTTGTCAACATAATTAATTTTAATTTGTCAATGTTAACTGTCAATATATTTATCATAAGCAGTTAAGTGTGAAAACAAAAGAAACTTCTTCGATGATCAACTTCTCATGAAGAGCTACTCTTACAACTACAGTTGAAGTCAGTCAAATTCTTCACTTTGTAATTTTTATTTTCCTGAGACTAGAAATTCTTTCCAATTCACATCTATAAAAATAAAGATTTTACACACTTTTCCTTAAGTTTCGCTTCATCTTTTTATTGGGATCCTTATCATCCCCTAATCCATCTTCAAATGGCCTCTTCATAGCTGAAGACCCAGGACCTAAAAATAATTATGAAACATTTATTAACAGTCAAACAATGATTCTACTTAGTCTACTAACAATGATTCTACTTATCTAGTATGTTCAGGAAGGAAAATTTCAGGAATCGAAAAACCAGAGGATTCTTTCATTAATCAATTATATCATCACCACACTTAGAATCCTGTAATAGCAAATATTTGAAAGTGACTCTTTCTAATTATCCCCCTTTTATGAATATTTATCTCCCTATATATTTATGTATACATGTATAAATATATATGCAGATATTCACATCTGAATGTGCATGAACAGAAAAAAATATCTGGAAGGATACTAAAATGTTAAAGTTTATCCCTGGTAGTAAGATTTACTTTTACTTATATCTTTTCCAGTATTTCTATGAAGGGTTTCTAAGGTATCTAAAATAGACAGTGATCTTATGTTGTTAGGGGGAAAGAATGCCCTGAACGAACTCGGCAGATGTAGGTTTTGTGGACTCCACCCCCTACTCCAGTTATTGAAACTATGACTCCAACCCCTACTACAACTCCCAGCAACTCTAAAGGGAGGACTGCAAGGACCTGAGGGTGGACCTAAGCAGCCATTTTGGGACTTTGGGGGATATATATGTGAGGGAGCCATGTTGAGCTCTTGCTCTCTCCCCTCCTTGGCCTCCTAGCTGGTGGCTGCTTGCTGGGCTCTTGAGCTTTCAGTGTGCTATTGGGGTTCCAAGTCAGCAGAACTGGTAAGATGCTCTAGTTAACTTGTATTTCTCTCTCTTTTTCCCTCTATTTCCCTGGGTTGTTCCTTTTCCTTTCCCCTTTGTAAATAAACCCATTTTGTAAATAAACCTTTTTGTGGTAAGTGTTTGGGTGAGGACCCATAGTCCGGCAACCCAATTCATTGGGTTGCCCTGTCACTGCCTATTTCATATACAGACTTTGTGTTTCCTTAGTCCTCTATGAAACTCAAGGGTATTTCCTCCTTGAATCTTATAAACTATCTAACACAAGATTTAGAAATAATATGACTGGTGTGGAACAAAAACTAACTGAACTGAAATTTCTTGAATATATCAGATAGTTAATAGTAGAAAATAAAAGGTTATCACCTGTCCAAGGACTTTAAAGAACTCTGTCTTCAACTTTAAAAAATGGCTATTGGGCCCTCCCTGGTGGCGCAGCGGGTTAAAGCACTGCACTAAGAAGCTAAAGCCACCTCCGCATGAGTTCGATTCCCGCCTGCCCCGGAGGCGACCACATGGTGTGGCAGACCTCTCCTGACCCGCCCGCTGCTCCCCTCAGCAGTGTACTTCGTCGATCTGCCTGTTCTGCTCCCCGCTCTGTCTCTGGTGAATTCTCTCACCCTCCGCATCTCTGGCCTATACCCCAGTTCTGTACAAATAAATAAATAAATCTTTAAAAAAAAAAAAGGCTATTGGGCCCTCCCTGGTGGTGCGGCGGGTTCAAGCACAGCACTATGAAGCTCCCTGCAGCCACTGCAGCAGTTCAAACCCCTGACTGGGAGGTGTCTCACATGGCACAGCAGACCGCTCCTGACACGCCCGCCCACTGTTCCCCTCAGCAGTGTACTTTGACATTCAGCCTGTTCTGCTCCCACTCTGTCTCTGGTGAGTCCTCTCACCGCCCCTGCACCTCTGGCCTGTACCCCAGTTCTGTATGTATGCATAAATAAATAAATCTTTAAAAATATATATGGCTATTGGATTTTTCTTTGAGGAAAAATTATACTTAAGAGATTCAAGCCATAAGATTTCCAAGTACTTTCAGTGAAACTCTGCAATACTGAGATTAACTATATAGTCTTTAATTGTCAAGATTTATTGCCCCTTGGGGTAAAGAACTGACTTTAGCATTTTCTTGAGTCAATACTTACTGCTCAGGTCAATTACTTTTGATGCTCTCTTCAACAGAAAGCAGTATTTGTTCATGCCTACTTAGGTATTTTTGATGCTCTCTTTAACAGAAAGTAGTATCTGTTCATACGTACTTAGTTACTATATTTCATTTGCATTAAACTATTAGTGTGCCTAGCTCCCAAAATACAGTCTTTAAAAACAAAAGTTAGAATGAAACAGTGTCAACTACTCTCCAATCAGTAAGTTACATTAAAAATTGCTCTCTGGGGCCCTCCCTGGTGGTGCAGCCGGTTAAAGCACAGCACTAAGAAGCTTAAGCCACTTCTGCATGAGTTCGATTCCTGCCTGCCCCGGAGGTGACCACATGGTGTGGCTGATCTCTCCTGACCCGCCCGCTGCTCCCCTCAGCAGTGTACTTCGTCGATCTGCCTGTTCTGCTCCCTGCTCTGTCTCTGGTGAATCCTCTCACCCTCCACATCACTGGCCTGTACCCCACTTCTGTATGAATAAATAAATAAATAAATCTTTTTAAAAAAATTGCTCCCTGGGGGCTCTTTCTGGTGGCCCGAAGCAGGTTAAAGCACAGCACTGAGAAGCTAAATCCACATCAGTATGAGTTCGATCCCCACCACATGGTGTGATGGACTCTCCTGACCTGCCCACTGCTCCCCTCAGCAGTGTACTTTGTCAGTCAGCCTGTTCTGCTCCCCACTCTGTCTCTGATGAATCCTCTCACTGTCTCTGAACCTCTGGCCTGTACCTCAGTTCTGTATGCACAAATAAATAAATCGTTAAAAAAAAAAATTGCTCCCTGATTTCTTGGAAATCATATACTGGCTTAAATTCATGGATCTGTCCTCTAAATCCTCCATGTACATGAGCAGAGTTTCATGGATTAAGAGTCAGTCTTTCATCACAGTTAACAATCCTAACAATAATTTAGGGGAAAAACAGTGCTAATATCTCCTTCCAGCTTATGGGTTATCTCTTTTCTTTAACCCAGGAGTTCTCAAAGCACGTTCCCTAAGTCTAAGAATCTGGCGAATGGAGTCATATAAATTCATCACTAATAAGAACAAATGAAAGTAGACTAATCTCACAGGTGAAACAAAAGAGAAGTCAAGAAGAAAGGCAAAAAATGTTCTTATATATGAGTTGAATTAACAATTATTATGTTCCCTCAGCTCTAGCAAGAGATGCAGCCCATGACCTTCACTACTGCCCATTTTCCAACACCAATAAAGAACTTTTCACTCACCTTCTTTATCAGTAACTGACCAGGAATATTTCTGGAAAGGCTTACTAGATGGAAGGGGGTCCATCTCCAGCACTTTATAAATCTGGCCAAAGGCTGATAGCCTCAGTGCATGCTAAAGAACAAAAGATTGCATTTATTCAAAATTCATCAGGCATTCATAAAGTCCTTAGAATAGCTTGCTAAAAAAAAAAAAAAACACTGATTAAATTCTAATATTATAATGGTAAAACTTCCCAACAGCAAGATGTGTTTAAATAGAACAATTCAGAAAACAAAGTTAACAACAGTCCTTTAAAACATCTGTGATATACCCCATATACCTGTGCACTGTGGGTAATATCTTCTTTTTGCTGGATGGTCATATAACTCAGAGCATCTGTTGGATCTCGCTCACAAGGATCATGAAGACCAGGACCCCCTGTGGCAATGACCAAAGAGAAACAAAGGAGCCATTTAGAGTGTAGAATTCAACAGACTAATGGGGGGGGGGGGGAGCTAGAGGGAGCAAGGGACGGAAAAACTGAATAACTAGGTTAAAAGTCGGCTCAATTAAAAGGAGTAAAAAGGAACCTGCTCTCATTTTCGATACTGACACTTAAGTGTCCTTATTTGACTGGAAGTTACTTGTATATTTAAGGTCAAAACTGTGCCTTACTTTGGGAATTTAGAAATAGCATGATGAGTCATCCCTAAATCTTTAAGGGAATTACGTTATTTAATTACATATTAAATATTTTCAAATTAAATGACAAACTGCAAACAGAGTAAATTTCAAACATTTCAAGCAAACATCTACATATTCAAATTCAGAACTTGAGATAAAGGAATTTTCTAGCAGACACAATATCTTATTAGTACCTTTTATGTTAGTACATATAAAACAAATTACAATGATCAAAAGGGTTTAAAGTAGTTTTCCAACATTGAAACATGCTAGTTGCTAAAATTCCAAGCAAAACAAACTCCTATGAATCATTTTCCTTTGGAGTGCACAGACTTAGCATATATTTAGAAAAATAAAAGGAGATTTTTCTGATTCTTTTGCCTATAGAGTTTGAAACCCTTACCAGGAAGTAGTATTCCAGATGCCAAACACTCCATTACTCGTCTCAAGGCCTCCCCAGCGCCCAAAGGTCTATTACAAGTACCTATAGACTTTTCACATATAAGCTCTAGTGGCTAGAAGATATTAAATTACAAATTAGTACATGCACCAAGTGTTAAAAGGATTCCAGTTAAACGTGAGCTGACATTTCTATCTACAAGAGTCCAAACAGATGAACATCAATTTAACATTTAGGCCCCAATTAATTTTTCTCCTTTATTATCAACTTTTACCCCTGCTAGAATTTTTAAGCCAATTGTTTCTGAGCTAGAATACTGAGATTATTTTGCTACAAAACTTCATTTTTCCATTATCCTGAAAGGAATAGCTAAGAAAACATGGTCATCTAATTGATTTAAGAAAGATTTAATAAGCCTTCGTATAAGTTAGTAATCACTAGTCAATGGTCAAACCCAACCCACCTATCTCCCACTTAACCTAGGAAGCACTAAAACCACAGACAGAGCACTTGCTCCAAGTGTACAATTAGAATAAATGAAGGACATAATCTCCATATTGAATGAGCTTAAAACATGTGATACTAATTCAAAAAAAAAAAGCTGCTATGTTCATTTGAAATGACCCCCCTTTCATCTCCACTTGTTTCTAATGTTCTTATGTAGTCTAGATTAAATGAGGCACAAAAGTTTTGCAATATAAAATATGTCCACACTTGGGTACTATTTGCTTGACTATAATTACTGGAGTGAACTTAGTTTTAAGCGTCTACCCTCAAAGAGGTAAAAAGTAGATATGGGAGCCTTTTGTTGGTACATAAGGTAATTTTTATTTTAATAAAGAGGCTTTCCTGGGAATAGGTGAAAAAAGTACACCAGTAAAGAGTAAAAGTACAGGAAAATGTATACTTCTAATAGGTACAGAGCCTTTGTGCCAGAAAAAATATCTCAGCTGTAACATGAACATGATGAGGTAGATGAGACAGGCTATCTATACATTAAAAATTTCATAAAGAAATTAGTTTTCCAGAACAAAAATTAATGCACACATTATCTAGCTCACAACATAGCCATTTTACAGTAACATGGAACTTCTACAGAATTTTATCTGACCATAGCTTCAGAATTTGCTTTTAATCATGTTTAAGTACTTACCCATCCTTTTAATGGTGCCCATGTAGGGACTCTGTTGCACAAGTCACGCAGAATGCGGAGGACAATTACACATGATTTTAATCCATTTGCCCTTGCCTAAAACAAACAAAATGATTCCAATACTCCTGTTGAAACCCAATTTTCATTTTAAGCACAGTGATCATGGAGCGGTTCCTCAAAGTGAATACTAATTAGTTAGTAATTCATCAATTGTCAAGCAAACCAAAAAATCAGGTTATTAAAGGTAACAAAAACTAGTTAAAGCAAATTTTTACAGTAAAGAAAAGCACAACATTTAAATTGCTTTTATAGCTTCATGGCAACCCATTTCAGACAACTATCTTAACTTGTAGCTTTTCTCACCCATGTTTTTATTGTATAAACCATAACCTGGACTTCAGTACTAAACCAAAAAAGGATTATAAGATAATAAACATATCATTAACTATAGCAGAAGCTATAAGGCACTTTATCTAAATTAACTCATTTACTGCTACAACAACCTTATTAGGTAGAGAATGCCCCCGCTTTGTATATAACTTGGAAACCATTAAGCAGCAGGGGTTCTAAATGAAACCTACACAAGGCTACAAAGACAATAAGATAATAACAGAGCCAACCTGAAACCATTTGGCATGTCGCAGAGACGCCAAGGCATTTAGGCATTTCTGCCTGTCCAGTAAGTCCGGAGGATCTTTCATCGCAACCTTTTCTAATGGGAAAATGGGATAGAGAGAGACAGATACAGTTTGACCAGGGATTCCTGTCAAATTATCAAACAATAATTAAAAACAAACAAACAAAAAAAACAGCAGCATTGAGTAAACTAATGACTCCCAGAAGGTTCTGAGGTTCAGATTTTTTTTTTCCTAGTTAAGTGCACTATGATCACTTAAATAAAAAGGCATCAGAGTGGTTCTATACATAAGCACAACAGGAGCACTAAAGAGTCCATTCAGTAAAAGAGTCAGTGACTACTGTAACGTGCAATCTGGGATCTTATTAAGCATATAGATAACATCATGGGCAGAAAATAGGTAATAGGTAGTTAGCACTTTTTCCTTTGGCAGTGTGCAAACAACAGAAATCTGAAACCAATGGCAAAAACTTCATTATAAAATGGGTTTAAATCACAAATCAATTCTTAAGAAAAACTGTTATGTAGTCCCTTTAAGATGCACTAAGAATATCATGATACATGAAGTACCACAGAAATTATACTTCTTAACAATAAATTCATCCAATAAGATAATCATTAAAACTTCACCATGGAAACTAAGTCACCCTAGAGTCTTCTCCTTTCTAAGCAAAAATGATAAAACTACAAATATGAAATACATTTCAATTTTTACATACCTTTTTATAAAAAGGTAGTAAAGAATACTATCTTTTATAGCCATTTGATTTGCCTTGACATTTTAAAGTTGAGTTTGATAACTCAAATCAACAAAATTAAAAGCTAAACATGTGATTAATGGTTGCAACATTCTAAAGGCAGGAGTGCTACTGCTTATTTTCTGACCAGGTGAGCTTACAGCAGATATTTGCATTGTTGCACACTGATCTAACAAAATCACAATACAGGGTCTCAACCCATTACACCCTTATTTACTTGAAAAATGGGATGTCTCAAAAAGAAATACATACATACTATGGTAATGTAGATCCTGGACTCACTCAGTTTTGTCTTTATAAAAATGACACAAAATATATAACTCATTTTAATGCTTTTAAATAGAAATCTTTATGGTCAAACAAGCATCTGTGTAAAGCTCATATAAAACTCAGATAAAACAAACTACTATAAGTAAATTACTAGAATCTCTCAAAAGTTAGATAAGTTAAAGGTTGACTGACTGCTAAATAATGTAATCGCAAGATATGAACTACTTTAAGACTTCAGTCTTTAAGTTAACAGCAACCCAAGCTAAGATTTATTTTGTCTTTTGACCAAATAAGAGTGTGAGGAAGAGGGTGGCAATGGAAATGAGGAGTGAAGAGTGGGGAGGAAAGACTAGGCAAACTGAATTCTTCGAACTTTCTGGTACTTCTGTCCAGAAAGCAGAGCTATAAATAGCATTATGACAGATATTTTTAAATGGGTACAATGGCAAAACATTGAGATGTATTATTTTATCTCCAGAGTCAAATTATAGCCACAAACTTGTAAAAAGACAGAAGAAACATGTTTGCTACAGGCAGTCAACATTTGGAGGTAGAAGATTCTACTAAAAAGAAATAAAGGAACAAGCAGTAAAAAAAAGACTCGCCCAGATTCCCTTTTCTAGCAGCATCAGAATGGCCATGTTTCTTCATGCTCTGACAGTCAACCAGTCAAAAGATCAAAAATGTTTCAACATTCATGAGGTGGGAAAAGCAGAGGAGATGTAATAATTCATCTCATTTTGTCTTCTTAAAAGTTACTTATTTTAAGTAAAACAATGTATACTTGAAAGGCACTTCAGTGTTACTTCTGAGCCCTGAATGCCTATCCCCTTTACATAAGAATACAGATTAATATATTTTCATTCATTAAGAAAAATAAATTACTTTTCTTAATGAAGTAACTGTTGCTGGGAAAACATTGCTATTTCTAGCAGAATCTAAAATTTAACATTTCATATGAATTTTATTCTAGGTGTTTCAATTTTGTGAGGAAGCAAAGCTTTTCTGATTTTAAAACAAAGATCTTGAAGTCTTTAGAAACAATAGAACTGATTTTTTTTTTTCCTACAGTGACATGGAGGTAGGGGAAGGGGCTGAGGAGTGACAAAAAAACCAAAAGCAAAGAAAACCAGCTTTCAAAAATTTTAATGCTCAGTGACCTGATGTCAGGGCATGAAGGTACATAACCCGTTCCCAGCAATCAAATTACTAGAAAAGTCTACTATGCCTAATTTTATTTGGTTAGAGGTTAGATCAGTGACCAGAAACACACTATACTGCAGAAAATGTTGGTCAGTTTCTCTCAAGTCCTCACATGCAAGCTAGAGGCTAGAGGGGTGGGAAAAGCCAGTACATGCCTAGAACCTGGGCTTCTCAAAGATAAAATAAGTGAACTTAGTTATCATGAAGGTCTCCCTGGCCATTTGGATGAAGCTGAGTGACTAAGTTCATGGTAGCGAATTTTCTAGTTAGCCTGAAGGTATCCTGACAGCCTCTTCTCTCAATTCCTTGAGACTTTGTAGAACGCAGATAGTATGCTTCAAGTACTGACCAGGCAAAACATAAGACAACAAAAGCACTAGATAGTATAGAGGGCACAGTTCTCTTAAGTTATGTTAACAATGTAGCTTGGCATGTCAATGCCTCCCTCAGTAGGTAGTCAGCCACTAAAAAGATTCTGGGTAAAGGTTTGCACTGGCTGGCATAGGTCTAGGAGCTAGGGAAGGCAAGAAAATAAAAGCCTGTAGCATCATTCTAATCCCTGTCAAATTCTCTAGATTGTGAGAAGCTAATGCCCAACCCTAGCAGGGATATTTTGGTGAACTTCTGCTACATTCACACTGCTACCAAAACATGGAAAACAGACTCTGGCAATTCCCTGACACTATACCACAACACTGAGGGCAGAAGGTTTATCCTAGCTTATTTTTTTTTATTTTTTTTATCCTAGCTTAAATCTAAGCAGACTCAGTAGTTTCAAACTATAATGTAAATACAATAAACAGCTGATTTATCACCCAAATATCATATATACTTTGGACTTAAATCATTAACACCAAAAGAAGCCAATACTGTGTGCTGCAGAGTAACTAAATCAGTAACTATGTTCCTACACTCATCCCAGACACTAATAGGAAAGTCAGAGGAACTAGATAAAATTGCAACTTTTCTAATTTATAAAACAGGGCAATTAGCTACTTCATACAGTTGTTGGTAAGTTAAATTAAATCTTACATGAGAGTTTATAAGACAGTATAAATTACCTTTAACTGAGCTAAATCTTCAACACATAATCCTTGAGTTTTGAGCTGCCCAGTGTTAACACTCATTATATACAAACCACATACTCCTATTTAATCTGAGAAGATGCTGATTATGATAATTCATTTAAAAAACATTTTTTATTACCTACTACGGTATGTGGCACCATTCCAAGTGCTAGAGATAAATTTAGGATGGGAGAAGGGAATAGATACTTACCATCAGTGAATCATAAACTATGTAATTAACAAGTTCACTATTGGCCCTTCAGCAAACACAGCTCACTGATTCTAACAGTACATTTCAATGGGTGTTTAAAAGTTCCATGTGTTTAGGTTCAGTTCTTCAGACCTGTCAAGAACTCATTATTCTCACCGCTAACTCAGGGTAGTCTTAATAAATTTGTACTGTGTATCTTTTTAGAAAGGTTCAGTTCTTCAGACCTGTCAAGAGCTCATTATTCTCACTGTTAACTCAGGGTAGTCTTAATAAATTTGTACTGTGTATCTTTTTAGAAAGCTGAGTAAATGTCACTCTTTTCTGATCAACTAACTTGTGCTACAGAGTATACAATTCATATTCTGTAAATTCTCTCATTTAGACCTCAAACAACTTTTATAAGGTATTTATTACACACATTTTAAAATGAAACTTGGCAGGACCACACAGCAATAGTTAACTAATGGACTTAACTCTGAAACAAATGGTACTGGGGCCTACACATAAAGGTTTAGAGGATGGAAAGAAACTAACAGTGTAGGAAATTCACCTGTGAAATAAAAAACAATACTAAAGAAATTTGATATGTGTTTTTTTGATACTAAAAACACTACTGGTGATCTGAAGCAAGACCCACTCCCTAAGAAGGGAGGTGTGATGCTCTAGGCTGCCCCAAGTTTCCAGTTCTATCTGCTCTTAACCATGCTACTTTCTTTTTCACATTTTACTCAAATATGTGGACAATGAAGAGAAGGAACAGAAAGACAAGACTTATGGTATGTATTGTGAGTAGTCTGTTTTGGAAGAGGAGAAGCTGAGATGCTATAGAAATATGTTTTCTTGAAAAAAGTAGCAATGTATATTTTTTACACTTTAAAGATAGAGTTTTTTTAAAAGAGATCTTTCAGTTCTAGAAATTCCTAGAACCCAAGGAATATATGCTTTCACCACCTTTTACACAGCTGAAAAGAACTGCATCAAAGGTGAAAGAGCTGTCGGTAAAATAGAATTGTACAGCCTAGGTCTCAAATGCTCAGTTATGCAGGAGCCTAAAATTTGCCGAGAATATGCAAAACTGCTAGTGCAAAACAAGAAACTGCCTTTGACAAAGCCTAGGTTAGACAAAATGAGCATATTATGAGGGATAGATAGTAAGTAAGTCAACAGAGCTAGGAGGTTAAAAACAATGGCAAAGCAAATCTCATTGCCACTTGAAAAGAAAGGAAGTAAGGTGTAAAACCTTACAGATCCAATTCTAACACCTTACCTGATCCCACACAATGTTAATATCAACTGTGAGCCTCTGCTTATGACCAAAAGATCTTAGGATCCTTTATTAACCCAAATACCTTGAAGAGAAACTATGACTCTCCTATTTTGAATTCCATTCTATAATAACTTTTTTTAGTAAAGGTGCACTCTTCTGAACAAAAACTAGAGGTACAAAGGTAACAGACAAAACTTAAGGGTATCACTACAAACTGCCAAAATCTCATGTAAGTATATAAAATCATGGGAAAAAAGAAGCCTGATGTTCTTAGTACTTTCAAAAAAGAAATGGAAGGAATACCTACAGTAGCTATAAGCAAACATGTAACTAACCTAGCTTTTGGCCACTTCAATCTTCTTCTCATCTCTCTACACTCAAGTAACTTTTTAAAAAACATTTATTTATGCATACAGGACTGGGGTACAGGCCAGAGGTGCAGGGGTGGTGAGAGGATTCACCAGAGACAGAGTGGGGAGCAGAACAGGCAGATTGACAAAGTACACTGCTGAGGGGAGCAGAGGGGAGAAAGGAGAGGTCTGTGTGCCATGTGAGACACCTCCCTGTCATGGGTTTGAACTGCTGCAGTGGATGCAGGGAGCTTTGCAGTGCTGTGCTTTAACCTGCTGCACCACCAAGGAGGGCCCTAAACTCAAGTAATTTTTAAGAACACCTGTAAGTATACTTAGAAATGGTTGGTTTTACACTAGAAAGTGAAGAAGAACACAGCTTACCAGAATTAAAAGAATTATCTTGATACTTCAGAAATCATTTTATAGTTCTACATTAATGGTGAACTGTAAAGCTGTTAAAGAAATTAAGTCATTTAAGGTTGTTTCTTCAAACGTGCTATAGATATTTTATATAAAAATGAAGGTACAGGCATAAATTGAATTAAAGATTAGATGCCCTTTAATCTTAATGAGTTTGGTTTATATCTGTTGATTATGGCATAGATGATCTTAGTTACTCAAATTTTTTTAAAGGAGTCTGTCAGTCACTTTTACTTTAAGATGTTCTGAGTCATGTGTGCCAAAACCCCAAGTTCAACTTCAGTGGTAGAAAGCACTTTTTTTCTAGCTGAAGATCAACTTGAAAAAACTTAAGAAACTGACCAATATTTCTTACTGTACTGGTATTTCAGGTTGACATTCTAGTGATGGAAAAAATATAGCAACAGGAAGTCCCCAGCTAAGCCACACTACCTCCAAACTGTCATGACAGAGAAGGGCCAGTTGGTCAAAGGCCTGACACAGAATTAACACATGGCAAATTTCTAGGGACAGGAACAAGAAGCAGAAACAAGCTAGCTTGACAAGATTAAAAACATCAGAAGAAGCTGCCAACTCCTTATTACTTCTCAAAGGTAAATGGATTTCTCACTCCACTAAGGCCAACACTCCTATTTAGAATTCTTTGGAAACTTCAGAAGAAAGTTTTAAAGTATGGTCCCCACATATGCCATATTAAAAATGTCCACATGTTCTCAAACTCCTAGAAAAATATTTACTAAATATTAGTTCTTTAAAAAAAAAAAAAACAATTTATACCTCTAACATTATAACATATTTGCATAATTAGGTAAATGACTGTTATATTAGCAATCAAAAAGTACCAGTATTTTTTTTAAAGTGAATAAATTTGAAATACTGTTTTAGACCACATTTGATTCTGAAAACAAATCATTAAGCCAACTACAAGGAATAAGTTAGCTGATACCAATAACAATGCAATACTAGACTTAGCAAAACAGAGTACCAAAATAGTACAACATTAAATTAAAGCAGGGTTAGGGCCAACATGATTAAGCACATGTTTTTGAATAAACATTTTATATTTTAAATGTATACTTTTCAAAAAATATAGTTATTATGTAGAAACAAAGATACTTAAAATGCAATGAGGCATAAAACAGTTATTTGTTAAATCCATCAAACATAGTTAACACAGCATTCAAGAAAGTTCTTATATGGACAAACAAAACAAAATAAAAAATATATATACACATATATATCTATGTATGTATGTACCTCCATCCTTCTTTTCCAATTCGTCCCTAATTACAGGAGAAGTAAGTATCACCTTCAAAGTTAATGTGGGCTCTTTTGTGTTCCGAATTATAATAGATGCCTCATCTATACATTGTTCCACTTGATATTTCTCTTCTGTGAGTTTCTGAAAGTCATCAAATTTTAAAAACACCTAGTTAGGTAAAATCTAAAAAAAATTAATGACTGCCCCTTAGTTTTCAAATGTAATTAACTGTTAGTATTATTGTGCTGAAAGAATGAAGTCTTTAATTCTTTAGCTTAGAGATAACATTTTGCTCTCCTCCCCACTTACCAGCAGATGGTCTTTCCCCATCAGTCTCTCAGAAAGCAACCACAATGTCAAACATCTGTATAATCATGAAGTGATATTAAAACCACTTTCTAATATTTTAAGTAAAATAGCAGATAATAGTAATATGATAAACATCAATTATTGTTCTTGAAATCATTACAGAGAACTTCTGTAGAGTAACAAATCACTGCAAATGCTTGCTTAAACTAGTACCTTTTTTTTAAAATTTATTTATTCATACAGAATTGGGGTACAGGCCAGAGATGCGGAGGGTGAGAGGATTCACAAAGGACAGAGTGGGGAGCAGAACAGGCAGATCAACAAAGTACACTGCTGAGGGGAGCAGTGGGCGGGCCAGGAAAGGTCCTCCACGCCATGTGGACCTCCTCCACCATGTGGACCTCCTCCACCATGTGGACCTCCTCCAGGGCAGGCGGGGATAGAACTCATGTGTAAGTGGCTTAAGCCTCTTAGTGCAGTGCTTTAACCCGCTGTGCCACAGGGAGGGCCCTAACTAGTACCTTTTCGACAGAACACAAGCTCGGGAATTATTAAGATAGATTTAAAGAAAATCAAGTAAGCATGAAGGAAAAAAAGTTTTCACACAGTCACTCACCAGTAAAAAATTAGTAGAACAAGTAATATGCTTCCCTTTCCCTGAAAACAGGCCTTAAAGAGATCATCCTAGCGCAAGTTACCATGTGGAATAAGTTATGTGCTATCCACTGAAAAACACACAGTATTTCTCTGAACATATGATTGTACACTTATATTATGAGAGCCTTCCACAAAATTAGGACCATCATCTATTAAGAGAATCATGTTAAGTTATATTTAATATAGTGTTATATATTAAACATGTTAAGTTGACAGGGTACACAGGATCTTTTTTGGCAGTGAAAACTTAGTTTCTATTACTTTGTGCGAACAGTTGAATGGAAACACTAAGATATTTGTGAATTGTGTGCATTAAAAGAATTGAAAGCCATCATGTACATAAAAATATTCCAAAGAGGCTCCCCTGGTGGCGCAGCGGGTTAAAGCACAGCACTGAGAATCTAAAGCCGCTTCCGCATGAGTTCGATTCCCGCCTGCCCCGGAGGTGACCACATGGCGTGGCAGACTTCTCCTGACCCGCCCGCTGCTCCCCTCAGCAGTGTACTTCCATGATCTGCCTGTTCTGCTCCCCACTCTGTCTCTGGTGAAGCCTCTCACCCTCCGCAACTCTGGCCTTTCCCCCAGTTCTGTATGAATAAATAAATAAATCTTTAAAAAAAAAAAAATATTCCAAAGAAGGCACATTATTCCAAAGTCATGTACATTAAATATTCCAAAGAAGATAGAGAAAAGAAAATATATCATCCTAAATTTGAACAGAGGAAACAAGAAAAGGTAAGACAGACCTTAGAAAAAAATAAGAGCATAGAGAAAAAAACTGAAAGCTGTTCACATTTATTTCACTATTATAAGAACATTAAAGATGTTCATCAGAAAATGGGTCCTCCCAGGTGGCACAGCAGGTTAAAGCACAGCACTGAAGAAGCTAAAGCCACTTCAGCATGAGTTCGATCCCCACCTGCCCCGGAGGTGATCACATGGTGCGGCAGACCTCCCCTGACCCGCCCACTGCTCCCCTCAGCAGTATACTTCGTCGGGGTCCGCCTGTTCCGCTCCCTACTCTGTCTTTGGTGAATCCTCTCACTGCCCCTGCACCTCTGGCCTGTACCCCAAATCTGTATGCATAATAAATAAGTTAAAAAAAAAAAAGATGTTCATCAGAAAATGAGTTGAACCTAACAGTTTCTTTTTTTCATTTAGATCACCATAGGATGCACACAAGGTGACAGACATGGTACGAGGTTTGGGCTAGGCTAATTATAAGTGATTTCTGATTTTGTTCATCTCCCTTGTTCAGGGAAGTCTTAAAATCAAGAAAAGTACATGTAGGAAAAAAAGACATGGTACAATTAATCAAGGTACTTAGGTGCTATAGTGAGTGAAAAGCTGAAAGTTGCTACGAGTGCTCAGGAGATGGTATAAAAGAAAATATTATATATATTAGAAAAGATTGGTTTTCCACATAAACAAAGAAAATATAGGGCAAACAAGGAAAAAAAGGTAGAAGTCATACACAAAATAATTTCCTGAAATATTACTAGTGATCACAATGTGTGTGCGTATGTGTATGGTAAGAAATACAAATAACAGAAGCCAACATAAGAAAAAAGAGCATTTAATAACGCAAAATTTAGATCGTATAGGCTGATACCTATTTATATAACATGGATATAAGGACTGATATAAAATTAACAAGATATAATCTAATTTTAACACAGATAACACATCTGAAAGATCATCTGTTCCTCAATCAGTGATGTGAATGGATGGACCTTAGAACAAGTTGACAGAGTGGGTCTAGGAAGATCAGAGATCCAGTTAACCAACTGCCTTCAATCCTGAGGTGCCAAAGGAGCATCCTTCATGAAGCATATCAACCTAAAAATGTTCTAAATGCATCCCAATGTAAAACACATTTGTAAACAAGGAATTAGAAATGATTCTTTCATTAACAGAATGAATGTTAAAATTGCTGAGCCTTTAACATTAAGTTATGACCTATGAAGGTTTCCAATTGTCTATGCTCTCTGACCTTTCCTGCATTATAATGAGTGACCTAGTCTAGAAAACATTCTTAGCAAGATACACCTGAAAAATTAAAGACTGCACCTCAATAGCACCCTTAATTTGGTAAATATATCTAGTCACCAAAGTTTGCTTTAAATGTGATGATGACGAGTCACTGACCCAGGGTAGTGGTATTCTTTTTGTCTGTACCTGCCCTTGTTATAAATTCATCAAGATCACTATTTTCACCTTTTTGCAAATTTTCCTAAAAGTGCAATTAAACCGTACTCACCTGAATCTGAATAGGAAGATTATCTTTGACTGTATTTAACAGGGTCTCTGTGGGTTTGTCTTTGCACATCAAAACCAGCTCCAAGTCCATATCATCTTTAATCAGCAAGCCTTTCGCAACCAGGCCAATCCTCATAACACCACACAATGTCCGGCCACCTTGATCCCTAAAAATAAAAGTCTGAATGATTACATTTACAACCTACTTCCCAAACTATAACTTCATTACTTAGCTTCCTGGATATTCACAGAACTGTAATTATAGACATTCAAAATTCCTCAAAGTAGGACTCATTTTTAAGGTCATACACAGTACTTGTCTTTCCCAAGTAATCAACAGGGTGTATATTTCAGACTCTAGGTCTTTTAATTTTTTATTACATCTGTGTTGCTTAGGAAAATCTAAAAGTGCTCAGCTCCTTAAAATATCTTTCAAAAACATCTTAAAACTTCCTATTATTTTTTTCAGTAATTAAGAATCTTTGATAAATATGGCACACTGAGAAAGAGAATCAGGGTAGAAATCCAAAAGATCTGAACTCCATTCCTAGGGGTACTTCTTGCTCAGTATGCATCCAAGTTAAAGTAGCTGTCAGCTAGATGAGCTAAGGTTCCATATTAATTCTAGATTCGAGGAATCTCCCAAAGGCTATGAGGAAAGTAAAATGTTATAAAAATGAAGAACTAGACCAAAAAAAAAACCTGCCAGCATATCCATTCTACACTGAGTAACAACTAAAAGAAGAAACATTCAAAGGACATCATCATGAATGGTGCATAAGAAAAATATCAACTTATCCTTGGTTTTAATATGGAAAGTTTAATAAGGAAGTTTCATCTTCCTTAGTCACAAGTGGAAATTTAACTAAGCTTAGCAGTCATTCAACAAGTAAGCAAATATTTGAGTATGGAAAATATGTTACATGAGCTCAAATCTCTCCTGTTCTTGAGATGTACACTGTAGTTAAATACGAAAGCCCCTGCTTAAGAGGGGGAAGTATGTAAAATGTGAGAACTGCAAGCCTCTAATTCTCATTTACACCTCACAATAAGCCATTGAAAGACAAGGAATGTGAATCTCAGAATAGCTAGTTATTTGTTCAAGTTCATAGTGAGCGTAGAATAGTAAAATTTGGATTAAAATTCCAGTTGGCTTGACCACAACATTCAGATTCTTGCATTATTACAGTTGCTTCCTAAGCTCAAAAGAGGGAGAAAGGTCAAAGCAAGACAACCTGAAAGTTTGATTACAGCAGTCTTGATTTGGTTATACAGAGAAAAAGGTCACTCTAACTAGAGTCAAAGAAAAGAGCTGGGGAAAAGCAAGTGGAGGGAAAATTGAACTAGATAAAAGAGGGAGAAACAAATTGTGACAGTAGAAATAAGACAGATGTTTAAATAATCCAGCCACTTGTCCAATGCATGATATACCTTAGGGATTCAACAAACATTATCTTAATGAAAAACTGTAAAGGTGGTGCCATACAGAAATAAAAAGCATTTTAAATCAAGTGACCCACATATAGAGAATTATCTGTTATTAAGGAAAGAATTGGTCATTGATTCTTCCTCCATTTTTATCCCTGTCCTCTCATCTTCTTGCTCTCCCAAATCAAATAGTTTATAAATCCCACCTTCATAATCACCCTCCAACCAAAGCATTCAAACTAGCATCTTTTCCAGTTCCAATCTCCTGCCACCTAAACAACTTTAATAACCTCTTCCTGACTAGCCTTAAATGTCACCTCTGCTACCTCCAATCTACTGTATTGTGTGTATTCAGCATAGAATAGCTTGACTAATATTCCAGAAGCTCGGCATGGCTATCACTCTACCTGCTGACATACTGGGCACTACACTTACATATTGGGCAGCAACTCAGAAGAAGCATGGTTTCCTGGTTCAAATACTGGCTCTGCCGCATACTATGTGATATTGGATAAATTAAAAATTCATGGATCCTTTTGAGTCTACTTTCTTTTTTGTAAAAAAGGAATAACATCTCTTAATTTAATGAAAGTAATGAACTTATCCCAGTGCCTGGCGTATATAAATAACTCAATAAGCAATAACTATTATTCCTTAAACAATCCCTGTGCTGATTCATTTTCTCTTCCATACTTTCACTGCCTGCCCAACCCCTACCTACTGCAAATGTTACCCACTTTGTAAGTTCTTCTCTGATCCCAAGAACCAACAAATGATCCCTCCCTGCTCTGTACTGTCACACTCTAGTCATAAAATACTGAAGTAGAGGTACTAAGATAACTAGGGATCCACAAATAAGAATGTGAATCCTGGCTCCACCACCCATAACAACTCAGTGACTGTAATTAAACAAGTTAAAGTTTGTTAATGATTTTGAGTCATTTTTTTCATAAGCAAATCTGAAGCAGTGGAAATTTTGAAAATCAAATAGAGGTAGAAGAGAGTGATAGTAATAATACTATGTAGGTTAGTTTTAAGATAGCGTGAAAAATAATCTGGTACTGTAACTGGCCTTCAATAAATGGTAGCTATTATTAACAAGTCTTTACTAGCTAGCTTAAGTTCTTTACCACAATGACAATATATTTGGTCTTATGCAGAAGACAGCACGACTAAGCAGAAAAAATTAGTAAATCTGCATGAAGAATTTGAATATAGTAGGTGTTGCTAGAGCAAATGGCCCAAATTTGGGGCATTATTTAAATTAAGAAGAGTCCTAACAACCTTAACAGTACAAATAGGATCTCACACAATTTCTCTGACAGAGTGAAATGTGGAAAGGTAAATTGGGGTCCTATCTGGTGGCACAATGGGCTAAAGAGCAGTTCTATGAAGCTATCCCCAGCCTGGGAGGTGACCCACATGGCACAGCAGACCTCTCTGTTCTTCCTTGCTGCTCCCTTCAGCAGTATATCTCAGTCAATCTGCCTGTTCTGCTCCCCACTCTGTCTCTGATGAATCATCTCACCACCACCACCCTCCCACCCCCTGCACCTCTGGCTTGAACCTCAGTTCTTATGTACATAAATAAATATTTAAAAGAAAAATAAAAGGTAAATTAAGATGGCATGAGTAAAAGCTGTGTAAGGGTACCTGGACACAAGGTACTTAACAAAGGGAAGCTGGCCCTCACCCATCTTCATGCTTTGTAAGGCCATTAGCATAAATCAGGAACACTACTGTGTTAATTACTGGTACAGTAATGATTACAGTTTTGTTCTTGGAAGATGAGTCTACATCTAGTTTATACAAAATACAGACACAATTATTCTGCCCTCCTTGAGTCCCACCAGTGGTTAAGCAGCACTGACAGGAGCTCAATATGGGACCGTTTCATAAAATGGAAAGATTTTACAGAAATGATCAAGAGCTTCCACATAGCTATATTAAAAGTCTACATGAAAAGCATGGAGCATGTTATTTTTTTAAAACCTTCAAAATACATTGACTTGCTCCAGTTAAGCAAATTCTACCAGAGCGCTTTGTAAAGATCTATTCTGCCTTAAGAAGAAACAACAGAAGATGGATTAAGAAGGCCTGAACGCCACTGAAAAAGAAATCACTTAAAACTGGCAAAAATGTCAAATTTTATGCTATGTATACTTTACCACAATAAAAAGTTTTAAAATTTCAAAGTGAATTTTAAAAATGAAATGCATGACTATTTAATATGCACAAGAACTGGGATATACAGTTAAAGATTGTTGGCTCTACTACTAATTAATTCAACCCCCAAATTTGACAGACAGAATACTTTTTTTTTTTAAGGTTTATTTATTTATTTATTTATTCAAACAGAACTGAGGTACAGGCCAGAGATGTGGAGGGTGGGAGAGCCACCAGAGACAGAGTGGGGAGCAGAACAGGCAGACTGTCAAGGTACCCTGCTGAGGGGAGCAGGGGGCGGGTCAGGAGAGGTCTGCCACGCCATGTGGTCACCTCCGGGGCAGGCGGGTATCGAACTCATGCAGAAGTGGCTTTAGCTTCTTAGTGCTGTGCTTTAACCCGCTGTGCCACCAGGGAGGGCCCAGAATACTTTTTAAAGCCATCATATACAAGAAAAAATTCAATTACTCCCAAGAACCTTCAAACTGACAAGGTTATGACTTGACGCAATCTATATTACTATAGTTAGCAAAGTCAACTTATTATGTTATTAATTGAAAACTGATGCTAACTCATCTGAAGATGAAAAGATTACAGTTTCTTTCACCTGAAGAAAATCAATTCATCCATACCTTTCCACTAATCTTTACTTATCATATTGATTTTAAACTGAAAGCTGGATGGTGGGAGGGGGAAGAATTCTGTAGCTTCTGGCTTCAATTTATAAGCTGTAGCCAAAGTAATGCTTTTAAGTCAATTAATACTGAAGAGTCACAAAAGCTTTATCTTTCAAAGGAAGTCATACTCTAAATCATGACATGGCTCAAAACAATTCTAAGCTTAACAAGATATAATCGGTTTCAAAGTATGACTCTGGTTGTAACAGCTTCATCTAACTAACCTCTTAATACTGTTAGAGAATTCTCAGTTGAAATAGTAATAATTGTGGAAAGACTTTCATTAGGCCTTCATTTATTCCACAATTATCCAATGAGACTCCATATAGGATTCAGCAGCATTCTCATGCTGAATCCTGGAAATCAACAAAGTAAATAGAGTAAAAAATACATTTTCCTACACTCTTTTTCTACACTTTCATTTTAAACACCTGACAAAAGTAATAGTTTGTGATTTCTCAGAGATCAAAAACACAACTATTTATTTCAGAATTCACAAGGCAGAACAAGCCCATGAAAATATGACATACCGCAACCGCCAAAAGAGAAGATTGTAAAGGTTTTGGTATAGTCTCAAAAGGCATTCCGAACAGGTCCATTTTCTTTTTCTGGGTTTAGTCATTTTTCCTTCAGAAAAATTCCATATTTACTGTCTTTGTTTACAATCACATAAAGAAGAAAACCCTGGGCTTTTCTGGGCTGACAGTAAAGCACCAGCAAAGTCAGGCCACACTCACTTGGAATAGGTATCTATGACCTCTTCCTTCTTCACTTCTGTCTCACCCTCTGTTTTTGCACCTTTATTTGTTTCATCCAGCCAATCTGAAACATGTTTAAGTGCACATTCAACAGTAGACACCATATTCTGAACAGCTTCAAGTTCCTCTGGAGACGGATAGATTGTTGAATGTTTCACCATAACATGGCGGTCATCATTGGCAAAAGATCTAATAGATCTCTGTGAGGAGAAAGAAAACAATTACTTCAACAAAGGAAATGTTATGGGAAAGGATGGCATCAAATAAGTCAGCTCATAACATTGCCAAATGTGAAATACTTGACCACAATAAAAAACTGCTTAGGAATGAGATTAAAACCCCACACCAGGAAATGATGAGATTTTTCATTCATGTTAAGATCACCTAGGTCAATACTCAGTATTATGTATACACTACCTTTTTATATGAACCTGTACGTTTTAAATACTATGAAAGATCATTCATAGTACGCAACGTCTGCAAGAAACAGACACTTCCTAGCTTAAAAAGGGTGTCTAGAAGTGCATGACAATGATTCATGATACCTTGTCTAAACTGATGAATACTTTTGTACCTTGAAATGTTGAGATTTCATACTACAGTAATAAAGAAATATAAAGTTAAATGTCAACACTATAGTAAAACTATGGATAATTAAAGTATTTTTCACTATTTGTCATTCAAACTTTAGTTCAAGGCTTTAATTTTTTTGATGATTTATTTATGTATACAAGAGCTGGGGAGCAGGCCAGAGGTGGCGGGGGGTGGTGTGAGAGGATTCACCAGACATGGAGTAGGGAGCAGAACAGGCCAATTTGCTGAAATACACAGTTGAGGGGAGCAGCAGGTGAGACAGAAGAGGTCTACTGTGCCAGGTGGATTAGTTGCCTGGCTAGGGATTGAACTCACGCTGCAGTGGCTGCCAACAGCTTAACAGTGCTGATATTTAACCCCTTGTACCACCAGGGAGGCCATCAAGGCTTTAATTTTAAAATATATTAGTAGAAAACAATCTAAATTTCCAGAATGGAAAAATACATATTGCAAAAGAATTGACTTCCCAAGCTTATTTACAAATGCATTGTTACAATTAAATTAAAACAATTAAAATTCCCTTAAGTTGGTTTATTTAAAACTCAGCCACATTCAAAAGACTAAAACTAGACCTTAAGCCACACATAAAAATTCACACAATGGTGGTGGCACAGGGGTGATTTGGTGATGGGAAACCCGTGGGGATTACAATTGAGATGAAAAAAAAATGTGCAAAATGATGTAAAAATAAACTTTTTAATAAAAAAAAAGTATAAAAAAAAATTCACACAAAAATGGACTAAAGACTTGAATATTGGATATGAAACCATAAAGTACATATAAGAAAATGTAGGTGAGGCAAGTTTTTCAATATCCGTCTTATTAATGTCTTTATGGAAAAAAGAGAAAAAGCAAATCAATGTATAACAAAAAAAAAAAGCTCCTGCACAGTGCAAAAAAAAAACAACAGGTTAAAACAAAAACACAACCTGCTGAAAGGGTGAAGGTATTTGCAAATCATGTATCAGACAAGGAGGATAATAACAAAAATGTATAAAGAATTCCTAATCTCAACAAAAACAAAACAGAAGAAAACAGCACAAAGAATTCAGTTCAAAAATGGGCAGACTGGATTAAAAAGATGTGGTACATATGTACAATCGAATATTACTCATTAACCAAAAGAGAGAAACACATGTCTTTTGCAGCAACTTGGATGGAGCTGGAAAAGATCATGCTTAGTGAGATAAGCCAGAAAGAAAGAAAAATACCGGTTGTTTCACTCATAGCAGGAGTATAATGGACCAGGTGGAAAATAACAAAAATAATGAACAACCATATACTAGAGACATTTTGTGGGGGTGGAGGGGGAAATGCACGGGATTATGGTGATGGCACATGGGTGACTCGGTGATGGGAAGCCCGCGGGGATTACAATTGAGATGGAAAAAAAATGTACAAAATGATGTAAAAATAAACTGTTGTAAAATTAAAAAAAAAAATGGGTAGAGCCAAAAGTGGATGACTGGATTAAGAAGATATGGTACATATACACAATGCAATATTACTTAGGAACCAAAAACAATAAACACATGCCTTTTGCACTGACATGGATGGAGCTGGAAAAGATCATGTTTAGTGAAATAAACAGAAAAATAGTGATGGTTTTACTCATATAACAGGAGTATAATGGACCAGGCAAGAAAATAATAATGATGAACAGCTATATACAGAGACATTTTATGGGGTGGATTGGGAAATGGGAACAAAAAACAGTGAGGGGAGGGAAATGCACTGGACTATGGTGATGGCACATGGGTGATTTGGTGATGGAAAGCCCATGGGGATTACAACTGAGATGAAAAAAGGCACAAAATGATATAAAAATAAACTAGTATATTATTTTTTTTTAAATGGGCAGAGGATCTGAACAGACACTACTACAAAGACATACAATCAGTTGGCAAGAGAAAATATGTTCAGAGCTCTTATCAACAGAGAAATGCAAACCCAAAGCAGATGTGATGAACCTCACAACTGTTAGTGACTATCATTAAAAAGGAAAAAAACAAATGTGGGCAAGGATGTGTAGAAAAGGGAAACCTCATACACTGCTGATAGGAATGTAAATTGATGCAGATATTATGCAAAACAGTATGAACATTCCTCAAAACATACAGAATAGAAACATGATTCAGCTGTCCCATCGTTGGGTATTTAACCAAGGAATAATTAACACACTTAAATATATGAGCCCCCTTTTCACTGCATTGTTCACAGTAATGAAGGGTTGAAAACAACAAATGCCCATCATAGATTGGTGGATACAGATGTAGTCATCAATTAAAGAAAAAAAAAAAAAAAGATGAAATCCTGACATTTGAAACAACTTAAATGGACTTAGAATGTTTTATGCTAAGTGAAGTAAGTATTCTGCTGTGTGAAATAAGACTGAGAAAAACACGATATGATTTCAATCATATGTGGTAAATACAGAAACGAATGAACAACAACCAAAGAAGCTCACTAAACTTTAGACTACAAAAACAAAACAGTGGTTAGCAGAAAGAAGTTGGTAAGTTGAGTAAAGAGGTCGTCAATTCTATGCTGATTGGTGGAAACTAGATTTTTGGTAAAGAACACAATGTAGTATATACAGATACTGATTGATAATGCTGCACACTGGAAACTTATACAATGTTAAAACCAATGTTATTTAAAAAATAATAATGTCAAAAACCATTCGTGGAAAAAAATACTGAATCTCAAAAGACATTTTACAAAGATGAATGGGTGGCTGGCATTTATTCTAAAACAAAATATTAAAAAATTTAAAAGTTCTAATTAAAATGACATGCTGGCCCAGAAATTGATAGAGCAGATTAGAGCCCAAAAATAGAATAAATTTCATGAAAATTTAATAAAGTAGATCCAGATGAGTCACACATGCAAAAACCTCTGAATATTTCCAAATTTACAAATACCATTTAGACATTTGTACCAGTACATAACAAAATGAATAAGGATAAGTTGGTGAGTTTCAAATAACCCAAAAGTATTCCACTTAAAAGGCAACCAACAGCGTCTTATGTGAAATTAGTGGTTAACGGACGGTAATATTTTGTGTTAAAGTCTTTGCTGTAAATATCGATACTTGAAAATTTGATGCCAGTAAATTAGTATTACATCTCACCGTAAAACCAGAGAAAACCCCAAGCTGACATTTTTTCCTACTATCCAGAACATATTAATAGATTTCTTCTGTAAAGACCAAGTCCAGTGGCCCTCCCTGATGGTGCAGTAGTTTAAAGCACAGCACTAAGAAGCTAAAGCCACTTCTGCATGAATTCAATCCCTGCACAGGGGGTGACCCACATGGCGCAGCAGACCTCTCCTGACCTGCCTGCTGCTCCCCTCAGCAGTGTACTTCTTAAGTAGGCCTGTTCTGCTCCCCACTCTGTCTCTGGTGAATCCTCTCACCACCACCTCCTCCACGTCTGGCCTGTAGTCCCCAGTTCTATATGTATAAATAAATCAATCTTAAAAAAAAAAGACCATGTTGGGCTCTCCCTGGTGGGTGCAGCGGGTTAAAGCACTGCACTGAGAAGCTAAACTTCCGCATGAGTTCCATTCCTGCCTACCCCGGAGGTGGCCACATGGCATGGCAGACCTCTCCTGGCCCGCCTGCTGCTCCCTTCAGCAGTGTACTTCGTTGATCTGTCTGTTCTGCTCCCCACTCTGTCTCTAGTGAAGCCGCTCGCCACCCCTGAGCCTCTGGCCTGTACCCCAGTTCTGTATGTACAAATAAATCTTTAAAAAAAAAATACTTCTGTGTTCATAAAAAAAAAAAAAGACCAAGTCCATTAAGTCATAATCTCTATGGGAGAAAATTTTCCTTTCCTTTTTTTTTGAATCTCAAAATATATATATTAACATCACTCTTCATTTTGTACATATTTTCATCTCAGTTGTAACCCCCGTGAACTTTCTACCACCAATTCACCCATGTGCCATCACGATAGTCTCGTGTGCTCTTCCCACCCCAGTTTTGATCCTATTCTAGGGAGAACATTTTCAATCAAATAACAATTAAAGAAGCACCATCAGATTTGCTAAACATATTGCCAAAATGCTGATGATCATTATTGTTGGATCTTTTATAAGTTTTTTCTCAGTTATACTATGTGGGAAATTCACACAATTTCCTACAGAACCAAATATGAGGGGGAAAATATTCAGCACATTTTACCAATTAATAAACTAGGCAACAGAGTCTCTGTGGTGGTACAAGGGTTAAAGTCAGCACTATCAAGCTATCTGCAGACACTGCAGCACAAGTCTGACCCCTGACCAGAGAGGTAACCCACAGGGCTCAGCAAACCTCTCTTGTCTCAGCCACTGCTCCACTCAGCAGTGTGTTTCACTGGATCTGCCTGTTCTGCTCCCCACTCTCTCACTGGTGAATCCTCTCACCCTCTTCCCCTTTATACCTCTGGCCTTCACCCCAGTTCTTGTACACATAAATAAATCTTTAGAAAACAAAAAACTAAGCAACAGAAGTTATGATCTCAACTAATACTTCAAATTCAATTAAATTCAACTTTCCATAAAATGCAAGGTTTCCCGGATTTTACTTCAGTGCCCCCAGCACAATAAACACTTACTCATACTATTATTTTTTTTTAAAGATTTATTTATTTATTCATACAAAACTGGGGTACAGGCCAGAGATGCGGAGGGTGAGAGGATTCACCAGAGACAGAGCGGGGAGCAGAACAGACAGATGGACGAAGTACACTGCTGAGGGTGCAGTGGGCGGGTCAGGAGAGGTCTGCCACGCCATGTGGTCTCCTCCCGGGCAGGCGGGGATCGAACTCTTGCGAAAGTGGCTTTAGCTTCTTAGTGCTGCGCTTTAACCCGCTGCGCCACCAGGGAGGGCCCATACTATTATTTTTAAAAGTGGGAAAAGATGACTTGTTTAATTATCTGCTCTCACACATTTTTATAGACGGCTACACCATTCCTATCAGTAACTAAAGGATGACTGAAGATTTTTAATTTCCATGGAAAACATCAGATAAAAGGCTAGAGATATATGACATTACTTCAAGTACAAAGTGACCTTAGCCATTTTTATAAGTTTACTAATGCCAGATTTACTTGAAAATATTATTTATGAGTATTCCCTCCTTGCATTTAATAATTGATGGCCTGCAAGGCTCATGGGGCTCCATCTGGTGGTTTAAAGGGCTCATAATAAATCCGAGCCCAGTTGCTTTGTTTAAATAGAGTGCCATTTTTATGTTATGTACAAGAGCCAAAAATCAACACCAGTTTTACTGTCCCTCAACTGTTAACACTCAATTTTAAGCTATTAGAGTCTTTTGTAACTAAATCAAGGAAATGTAAATAATAACCTACCATGGTTTTCTATAGTGTTTTTAGCTTCTTTTTCCGATGATCCTTTCCCCTCTTTCTCGGCGTCTTCACTAGACACTGTTTCGTGTGACAGTACCTCCTCATAAGCCTGAATCCCCTGACAGCACAGCGTCAATGCAGCAAAGACGTTTGAAGACTTGTTCTCTGGAATATACCTGCAACAGAAAAGAGAAATACAGCTTTTCATAAATGCTTATTTACAGTTTCTTACCTGAGTGTAGAGTATATAAAGGCGTTAGTGACAAAAAGGAGACCAGTTTTATGATGGAACATGATCTTATTTCAAACTAAAAGCTAAAAGCTTTGGACTAAAAGCTTGGACAAGAGGCCCAAACGCCCAGGGGGTCTGGCCCGAAAAGTGACCCTCCTGATAGCATCAATATGGCAGCAGGCTGACTTGTACTCAAGGAAATATGTTAACAAAGATTTAGTCAAAAAGTACCACCTGGAAAAGTAATGTTACCATAGCTGACAACAATATTATAATGAACTATGAGATTTCAATTAGAAATTGGCATTAGTCAGCCTACTCAAAGAACAAACATCTGAAAACATACCACCAATGACTAGAACCATGGGTTTTTCCCATTTGATATGGCCAACAGACAGTATGAATAAGCATAATGTTTGCTCTTTAGTCATTTTTAGACCTGAAATTCAGCATGCATTTCGGATTCTGTTTCCCCTAACTTCTGAGAGAGACTGTTCCCTCTTCAACCTAGATGCCAGACTCCTGAATAGTCCAGATCCTCATTTCACCATGGAAGGGCCCCCACAGTATATTCTCCCTAGAGACCTAGTCATCATTTTATTACCCCTTTACTCCATTTCTATGAGTTTCTATTTTATTCCAGGTTAGGTAAACTAAACTCTTCTAAGCACTGATGAAATCCCTGTATATTGTAAGTTCAACTGAAAAAAAAAAAAATCTACCCCCCCACCTCCCCAGGTGGCACAATGGGTAAGGATGCAGCACTGCAAGCTAGCCACAGTCACTTCAGTGCGAGTTGGATCCCAAGCCCCAGAGATGACCCACATGGTGCAGCAGACCTCTCCTGATCCACCAGCTTCTCCCCTCAGCAGTGTACGTCAATCTGCCTGTTCTACTCTGTCTCTGGTGAATCCTTTCACTGTCCCTACACCTCCTGCTTGTACCCCCAGTTTTGTATGCATAAATAAATCTTTTTTTAAAAAATATTTATTTTCAAAAAATCTAGAGAAGATTATCACAACACATGATTAATGACATGTATATCAGAGTAATTTACATACAAGAACATGAAAACTCACCAAGAAACAGTTTCTGCTTCATCTCAGTATCTTTTTTTTTTTAAGGTAAGTTTCATTTCATAAAGAAACTTCTTTTTAGAACTTTTGTCTATAACAGCTTCCTAATACCATCCTTTATTCCCCTAAGGAAAGAAAATCCTTTGACTTTCTGGGACCAGGAAAGTTATGGGTGCAACAATGAACTCTCCCCAATTCTGCAAATGATTATAGTCAAGTGATACCCAGCTGTGACCTACATGCAAACCATTCATATCCTGTAACCAAATCCCCTGATTCTTGTTTACAAAATTCAGCTGATAAAGGCTAATGAAGTCTGATTTTTTAAAGGGGGTGGGAGTTATGTGACAACTGATAAGTGGATTTAACTTTTTTTTTTTTTTACAAATAACCACTAAGGTACAGTGAAAACACACATGCTGTCACTCATGAGGCCTTTTTGCATAAAAATTATGAAATAGGCCCTCCCTGGTGGCGCAGCGGGTTAAAGCACAGCACTAAGAAGTCAAAGCCACTTCCGCATGAGTTCGATCCCCGCCTGCCCCGGAGGTGACCACATGGCGTGGCAGACCTCTCCTGACCCGCCCGCTGCTCCCCTCAGCAGTGTACTTCGTCGATCTGCCTGTTCTGCTCCCCACTCTGTCTCTGGTGAATCCTCTCACCCTCCGCATCTCTGGCCTGTACCCCAGTTCTGTATGAATAAATAACTAAATCTTTAAAAAAAAATTATGAAATAAAACATGATCCCAAAGTAGAAGACATCTGAAAGATCATCTTATTACTAAAAGTATACCTTCCAAACAAAGATTGTACTATACAGCATTGCTGTTCCTGTTCCCAAACCTAGTCCATTTCAGGGCATTCAACCATTCAATATTTAGCTGTGAACAAAGCAGTTAAAAGACTTCAACACCTTCAGATGAGAACTGAAAAAGTCCACAAGTTTCACTCTAATGAGAAAGTCAATAAATCAACCATATTTAAGAAAGTAGATTGAAAGCAGAAAAGATTGCTATAATAGGGAATTGTGTATCACCTTTATAAAAGTACAGCAATCTTCTTTCATTCAGCATTAAAAGTAACTATACACAAAAACACTGATTGAAAAAGATACCTGCACCCCCATGTTTATTGCTGCTTTATTTACAATTGGAAAAACATGGATGTGTTAACAAACATTTAGTCAAAAAGTACCACCTGAAAAAGTAATG